AATTGCTTATATGTATACCTAAAGTTTTGATTTGGAAATGTCTTATTGTTGATAATCTATAATGATGCTTGAAAATGAAATAAGTGAATTGGGGATATAAAGTGTGGCCAACGTGCTAAGAATGAAGGTTATACTTATGGCTAATGGTGCCAATAAAATAATATGATATGAAAAAGATTATAAAATGAGCTTTGATTCAACTATTCCAAAATTGACTTCGAAAATAGAATTTGCCTAAAAGCTTATGTACTCAAGTCATGTCCATATGTGGCTGTTTCAACTAATGCTATGCTTTGTGAGTATTTTCAATATGTGTTTGCGTTATTACATATTCGCGAATGGAAATTGTGTATTGTCCTTTTTGGGGAAAAGTATTTCAAGAATAAATGGTGTGTTACTTGTTGATGATTTTAACTTGCGCATCAATTGCCAATTATTTTACTCCATTTATCGGAAAGAAATCTATTGTGCTTAAATTGTTCATTTCTAATAAACTTAAAGTTGTGATTTCCGAAATATTCTATATGCTGATATTTGATGGTGATCTTTAAAATTGAAAGAAGTGAAAGTGTGGAATGTGAAATACGACCATCATGCCAGGAATAAAGAATCTTGTGAATGGCCAAATGAGCTAAGGAAATATTGTCGTTGTGAATGACTGAAAATACTAATGAGAATCTATACAATGTGAAAGATATTGAGGTTAGTACAATTGTATTTATGTTACACCTCTGTGTGCAAATCAAATCAAAAATATTTTTGGGAGCATTATTAGCAAAATCGAGGAAGGGTGGGTCATAAGGCCCACACCTGAAACTACACGTGTTGGTGTAGGTGTGGATTGTGATTATTCCCCTTATTTGAGATAAATTTGAAATATTGGAGAAATTGTGATATTATTACCCTTAATTAGGATGAAACTGGTAACAATTGTGGATTAGAAAATTCAACCCACACGGCATATGTGGGAAGGCGACCTAGTTGATCGGGTGGAGATCGGACGTCATGTTGCGCACATGGTGGTACTACTCTTGGTAACAACTTTCTTTTGCATCACATGTCAAACCACATTATTCGTGGGGAGATGGTCTAGCCGATCGGGTGTGATCGGACTCCGTGCTAACAAAGACGGTTGTATATCGGTACTAATGATCTCCCAACCAAAATTGTATATGAAGTTCGTATTTTGAAAATTATTATGTTTTAACTGGACATTTGGATATTGTTGATTGTGACTTGCTGTTTCTATGTGTTGCCTTTTCTTATAGGGCATTCTATTTTGAAAGAGGACTTTTAGCTATACATACTAGTGCTATTCGACGGTACTAACATCCTTTTTGCCGGGGGCGCTGCATCTTTAATGGATGCAGGTGATTTTACAGCAGGCGACATTGATCAGTGATAGCAGTACACTCTTTTCAGCTGATTTGGTGAGCCCCACTTCATTTCGGGGCTATGTATCTTTTGTTTCTCATGTACTTTGTGGTTGAGGTATAGCCGGGGCCTTGTTGCCGACTTTTTCATATTTCTCTTCTATTGTACTTAGAGGTTCTGTAGATAGTTTGTGGGTGGTATTTGATGTTGGGGATTAAACTAGAAATGTTGGTATTTGGAAAACATGTTTTTCATTATATCTATAAACTTGTAATATTTTGGACATTATGAATGGAGCTGCTAATGGGAACTAAATGGAAGTTATTAATAAAATCTTTTTAGTGGTTGATTAATGGAGTACATCTCCTCTTATTTCATGAACGAGTCTGGGTAGAAGGAATATCTGACAGGCTTACTCGGCCGGGTTCACTCGGTTGAGTGCCGGTCACGCTCCTCGATTTCGGGGCGTGACAGGAACACATGCAATTTGAAGCACTCTTTAATTGAGTGGCCGTGCTTCTTGCAATATCTACATATCAAATTGCCCTTCCTAGTGGAATCAAAGTTTACTCTTTGAGTGTAAGGCTTCTCTGTGTGTTGTGTGGCAGTAGAGAATGCCATAAAATCAGAATTGAATGATGGAATGGCAGCTTGAACTGTGGATGACTCTCATCATTCACAAGCATAGTGTAAACACTATCCACATCGGGTAATGGTTTCACTAGAAAAATACTACGCCTAATTGTGGAGTAGGAATCATTGAGTGATGAACCTTTTGATCTTCATCTAATTTCTGACACCCTTCCTTACAACCAAAAACACAGTCATGATAGAAAATATAAAAGGAAAGCTAGTCCCATAGCTTCTTAATTCTGTTAACATATGTAGAAATGCTAGATGTTCCTTGAGAAATGGATAAAATCTCCTTTCTAATTTGATAGATCTTAATTCTACTCGCCTGATCAAACCTCTTCTCAATCTCATTCCATAATTTCTCTGCTGATTTAGTGTGCATAATAGTCTCTCCAATCTCTCGATCCAAACTTTTAAGAATCCAAGCAACTACCATGTCGTTACATTTAGTCTCGGGCTCAAATAAAGGAAAAGCAGGACTAGGCCCCAAAATCGTGCCTTTAATCATCCCCAATTTATTTTTACAAGACAAACCTAACAACATACTCATGCTCCAACTTTTATAACCAGTACCATCAAAGATCGTAGAAACCAACATTGTACCCGGTGAGTCGGACGACAGAAGGAACAAAGGTGAAGAAGGAGGTACAGTAGAATCGTCACCACTAACAGAACTATCTTCATAATTCGATGTCGAATCCATAGAACCCAAATTACAGGTAAAACACAACTCACAATAGGCCAAAATTAGGGTTTTAAAATGCGATACCCACACTCTAACAAACAGGCTACATAGAGAACACGAAAGCAAAAGAACAATGCTAAAAACTTCGCCAAATACTTGAAAACAAATAGAGTTCAGTACCTCAATATCTAGTAAGAGAGAAAGTCTAAAAAAAATCGCCGTTCGAAAGCTACAGTAGACAGATAGTCAACCCACCGGAAAATAATAGAATCATCAAACAAAACCATCGTAGAATCAAGGCACTAGGTCCGATCTATCTTCAGTGGCTCTGATACGTGCAAACATTCAGATTCATGATGAATTTCTGAAGAATCGAAGAACACCTAACCCTAGTTCTGGTAATCGTCGTAAAGAGAGAAATATTACAGAAGGATTTTATTTATTGTGTAAAAAATGGAAGTCTTAGTCTTTACAATATACAAAGCACTAATATATACAAAGTGGGCCGGGTACATTGATTTACACTGGGCCTAAAATATAAATGACTACACGAGGCCCATCACTTAAACATGTGTGGCCCAACTAGTCTTTAGCTCCAACAAAATTTGACTCCAACATGTATTACCTGAATTGTCATTCAGGTTTCTACTACTTGTTTAGTATAGGCGGTCTAGAAGTAAGGGAGTTCAAATAATACCCTTCCTAAAAAAATTTACTTATTTAGATATGTATATTACAAGTTAAAATAATAAAATTCATGATAAATATAAGGGTTGAATATCTTGACTTGAAATAAAAATGTGGTCTAGCCTACGTCTACAAAGCTGAATTCCCAATGAAAAATCTGGCCTCGTCCCGATGGCTTAGTACTTTTTTGGTAACATAATATTTTGGATTATATGAAAAAATTTGATTCCATAATGCATGACCTGATCATGAATAGCAGTTCAGGGTGTTCTACTTGCTTACGTAGTGCTTTTGCAAATTTGATACGATGGAATTAGTCATATGGCATTTTTCAAAATTCATGGTTACACTCCAACTTATATATTGGTTTATCATATTATTCCATATGTCCTAATTTATGTGGCGCTGTTCAAATTTTGAGAGTTCAAATTTTTAATTTTGACTATGAATTCAGACATAAAACGTTAGCTTTTTTGAAAGCAAATATACACATATAAAAACTATGTAAAAGATATTGTAAGTCACAATATTATAACAATCCAGAACATATAAAAATACAACAAAAAAAAGAAGCTCATTTTGACTTTCGAAATTTGAACGACGGGATGGAAGTAGTAATAGATATTAAGTGGGTGTTTGGACATAAGAATGGTAGAATTCCGGAAAAAGTGATTTTTTTTTTTCAAGTGAAAATGGTATTTGAAAACTAGAGTTGTGTTTGGACATGAATATAATTTTGAGTTATTTTTGAAGTTTTGTGAGTGATCTGAGTAAAAATTTGAAAAATAGTTTTTTGGAGTTTTTTAAATTTTCGAAAAAATTCCAAAATTCATGTTCAAGTGAAAATTTAAAAATTTATGGCCAAACACTGATTTCGAAAAAAAGTAAAAAAATTTCGAAAAAAATAAATTTTTTCTTATATCCAAACGGGCTCTAAGTGTCATTTTGCACAATTCTGCACTGCATAAATACATATATTTTACTACTATTTGACCTTAAAAAAAAGGAATGAAATCATATTGAGCGACATACCTTTCTCATTTTTAAAAACCCACTAGTTCAAGAGATCAAGAGATATTACATCTCTCGTATGTTGGTTCTTCATATTTGTGTACGTTAAAGGATGTTGATTTGCACATTAATTTTTATTAATTCGTTCAAAAATAACGTATCTTTTTCGTAATAAGCTTTTATAATAACATAAATATTATAACAATTGTTTAAGATTACACGTTTTAAACATCTTGTAATAAATAGTTGGACGAGGTTTACTGTTACTTTTACTAACCGATAATAGATTATATACTTATTATATACGATTAAATACATATTAGACATAAATAATATAAATATTATACATTTGTCAGTTTTTTTTTTTAAGTTTAAGTCGTTGAGTGAGTGATTATTTAAGTTAATTTTTTACATAATTAAATATTACGACATATTTAATATTCGTAAGTTTTACTCATCTTTTTTCCCTTAAATTTCGTATCAAAACAAACTAGAACAAACAAATGACTATTACTTAACCAAAAAAGTGAAATAAAATCAGATAGAGGGACTGACCATTCTCATTTTCATCACTCCATTTTATTTATATTTTTCCTAAGGAATAGAAAAAGGCAAATTTACAATAAGCAGAAAATGGCAACAAAAAAAGGAAAAAAGAAGCGGAAAACGAAGCGGCCATGAGGACTATGAGGGGTTTAACCTGCCACTGCTCTATGAATTCTTATTACTCTTCCATAAACAAGGTCTTGAAATAGAGATCAGATATCTCCTACAAAATTTTGGAAATTGACAATACTATAACAATGAAAATTCATGGAAATATAGATTCTTATTCGCTTGTAAACAAATTCAAACATGGGTTTAAATCCCATTGGGTCACTGCTCATGGGGTTCAAGTCTCAGTTGCTGCTACTCTACTAAGTGTTGCTGGTTTCATATTTGCAATTAAAGATGGCAAACTCAGAAACTTCATGGTATCAGAGAAGCATAGTTCGAACAGTTATTATTGGACAATACCTGGATTGCAAAATCTTGGAAATAATTGCTTCCTGAATGTTGTTTTACAGGTAAAGATCAGATTTTTTAATTTATAAAATCTACCTTTTCTTGAATTTGGTTAATGGGGTTGTCTCAATTATTATAAATAAGAGGTTTTTGATGAATATACTAAATCCATCTTTTCTTGAGTTTTGTTAAATTTGTTGTTTTAGTTATTGTAAATAAGAGGGATTTTGTGAATATACTTGAATAGATGTTTATTTTTTAGCTGGCTGTCTGAGTTTTAGCAAATTTATTTCTGATTGGTTAGTCTTAATTTTTGTAAGCATGCGGTTTTTGATGAATATATTTGATAAAGGTTTGATTTTTGTTTTTGGGATCAGGCTTTAGCTAGCTGTAAGAGCTTTAGCAAATTTCTTGAGCAAGTTGTGGAAGAATGTGAGGGTTCATCAATGGAAGGAAGTGTAGACTTGCCAGTTATTGCTGCTTTGGCTTCGCTCGTACAAGGTGTGTTTGAAGTTTGACATTGTAGAATTATGTTGGTTGGACTTGTATGAATAGACAACTATTTGAGTTCTACTCAAATGCAAACTTGGATACTAAATGAAAATGGAGAAAATCTTGTGCTTGTAGAACTGATAGGGAGGTAGAGTTTAAGGCATAAAAGCATGATGTTTTAGATCGGTTAATTGCATTTTAGCTAATTATGGATTGATGAAGCACAGCCGAGTATGCACAGAATGGTTATACGTCGAAGGGTGTGGCGAGCACTACCAAGAAGAGAATGGATGCTTGTAGTTATATGAAAGACCAAAAAGCTGCAAGTTGGAAATGGCGACTGTATTGTTTATATCATTCCAGCATTTTATGTTTGATTTTGTCAGGAAAAGGAGAGTTTGTGTTTTTGAAATTGGGTTGGATTCTTCTTGTATATCTTCTTATTCTGGAATAGTTATTACAACGAAGAGAGTTGTAGCCCTTAAGGGAAGGTATGAGGTATTTATCTTGATTTGTTAGTCTCTGAGATTAGGGGGAAGAAGTTGAAAGCTTCAATCTTTTGGTTAGAATACTTAATCCGCTTTTGCCCCGGATAATATCTTGGAACCATGGTTCTGTTGAATTATGTATAAATCATCTTCTTAGGAAAAGCTGCCTTGAGGTATTTTTGGGGTGGGGGGAATTGGTTAGGGATTGACCCTACATTGTGAATTGATATAAAAAAAATTTATTAGGCACATGAAGGGGGGGGGGGGGTATCGGTACTTACCTCCTCTTACCTACGGGAGAGTGAAGATGTCCACTCTTTTACGTTTGTTACTCCTAATCAGAGATACTTTTTGCTTCAAGAAGTAAACGTGAAGGGTAAGACTCCTCCCTATCACAAGTAATGTTAAATGTTTAATGAGAAGATTGTTGTGATGTTTTGCAGAATTATGTATTGCACGACATGGAAGAGCTGTTCTAAGTCCACGGAGATTGATGCATGCCATGACTAGTTACATTCCTAATTTTAATCTAACTAGCCAGCAGGTAATTATTTTCTTCGTATTCGGACAATCATCAGTTCATCACTAGTATTAGTGTATTAACTAACATATTTTTGATTAGTGTATTAACTAACATATTTTTGAAGTGTAGGATGCAGAGGAAGCACTCTCCCATCTTTTATCTTCTTTAAGAGCCGAATTGTCAGAATCTTATGTTCATGATCACAGCTCTTTGGCGGATGTAGCTACACTTCCTAATTGTAGGATTGTTATGCAAAGGATGGAAGGAGAAAGCGAACAGGAGAGATGGCAGCAAAGTTTTCTTGGACCTTTTGATGGGATTCTTGGTAGCTTTTTAACCTGCCAAAGTTGTTCGTTTCAGGTTGAATGGTACTTGAAAGAACATTTACAATCATACAATTCAATTATCCAACTGCTGTTTCTTTCTGCACATCATGGAACATGTTTGCTATATTTACAAGGAAGATTATGTAGTTGCTTTGCACTGCTAGCTTAGGCACACATGCAATCTGAGCCTTTGGTTTCAAGTTGCTGTAAAAGGGAAGATATTATTAACTAATGGAGAAGTTATCAAGAAAACCATTAACTAATGGATATCAATAGTACGTTGTAAGTTAAAACTTAATAAAGAGTCCTATCTTACATTTTATGCCATCTTATTAGGTCTTTTTGGATGATTTTGTCTCTAGTTTTGCTGGCTTTGCTCTTTAACTTCCTTGGAGGATATGATTGTGAAAGTACTCTTATTTTCTCATCAACATGCCGCTTCAATAGTTTTTAGTCCTTCTTCCGTGCATAATATATGGCAAAATTCTACCATTTAGGTCATTATCTTGTAAGTGGAGCTAACGAGACTATATATGAGTTTCAAGGTTGGACCTTTTACTTTGTAAAGTAAGCTGTAAATTTAATGATATCATGTATTATGATCTCTTTACCTTTGGATTTGCGCTATATCTTCTGGATCTTCATTCCTTAATTGACTTATTCACGTTCTGTTGTTTTTCTTCAGATCTCTCTGGATTTTCAGTTGTTTCATAGCTTGCATCTTGTACCAGTGTTAAGCAGCAGTGGGGCTGTCGTAAGTTTAAAACTCTATTGTCATATGTTTATGTGCCTTAATTTGATTCCATATTCATGGTGATTCTTTCTGCAAATAAAATGTTAGATGCCGGGGTGTTCCGTGGAGCATTGCCTGAAGCAGTTCTTTGTTGCAGAAAAACTTGAAAACTATAAGTGCAGCCACTGTTGGCATATTGCTGCCGTAAAGTTTGTCTCTGCCATGGATGAAAATGAGGTAATCTTGGTTAACAAATCTTAGTTTAGCATACTATCTTAACCTTGAAGCTTATGGCTGTAGTCTATAGGTTGAAAAGAGCTTATATGGCCTAGGTAACATTTCTCTAATATTCCTCCATTTGGTGGGAATTTGGTCACTGGTTCCCCTCTGAGGTTTCTGTTTTTAACAAATTTGTGGTCCTTTTCTAGTATCTGTATAACTAGAAGCAATTTGTTCTCAGGCTATAGTTGAAAAACTTAAGCTGTGCAATGAGGAAGATTCATGTGATTGCAAAGAGCTAGCATGCCTTGCAAGATTACCATGGTCAAATAACTTCTCACGCACTTTCAAGCAACTCAGTATTGGCCGGAGTCCTAAGGTATGGTTGGTAGTGCCATTTTCTTCAAATAAGAACTGAAAGTGCTAAAAACAGGTTATTTACTTCATTGAAAGGATTGACCACATAGCTGTCAACAAAATCAAAAGGGAGGAAAATAAGGGTGGGCAAGCAATAACGTTGTTAAGTGCTTACATGCTACTAAATTTAGGATCAGAGGAGAATGATCTAACGAGGGACTAGTTTCTTGATATCCAAACATGATTCAATTTTAAGACTTGGTGCTTCAGCTCTTAGTCATTTAATGGTTTTGTCGTGTATTGCTATTTGTTGTCTTTTTTTTGCATGTGCTTACAGTTGTGCCACGTTGCAGGTTCTCTGTCTTCATTTACAACGCGCTTCTATAAACGTATTTGGAGAACTGGTCAAACTTCAGGTACTGATATTTTGGCATACAGTTTTTGTTCATTTGATAAGTAGATATTTATTAGAACAAGAACACCAGCACATGAGGTAAATATCACCTTTCATCAGAAAAAGAACAAAGAAAATAAGAAGGAACACCCCCAGATGAGGTTCTGGTAGACGGCATAGTGTACTTGAACATAGACTGTTTCATCCACTGTTATTGATTTTCCATTCACCTATATCCTGTCATAGTTTATGTTGCACTTCAACCTTTTTATTTCCTGCTCTTGTTGATTAATTCCCCTCTTTTTTGTTTGACACTTCATTTGTTTCAATTACCTAGCCATCTATTTTCAGTTTGCGTTACTGATTGCCCCGTCTGTCCTCATAAGATCCCCATGAGATGCCTATGAACTTTCTAAGTCCTTAAATTTCTGCTACTCTATATATGATCTAGCTGCTTTCTGCATTTCCGTTGTCTAATTGGAATCATTGGAATCCTCATCTGTAGAGTAGTCTCTGCATTACTTAGAACATCCCTCTCCAAAATCAATTAATATTCAATCTTGGTTATGCATCACGTCTCCATAATGATCTCTGTCACTGTCGTTCTCCTTTGTCAGTTTCCTGCTTTTCCCTTAATAGCTAATGTCTTCGCAAGACAGCACGAATGTGTTGTGGCCTACTCTGTTCTATATAAGACTAGAAGAAAAAGCTTACCCAATTTTAGCATATGGTATGCCTAGAATGATTCATGGCTTGCTTGCATCATGCACTTTGTTTTTTACTTCATTCAACTCTTAGCCCTGTCTTATTTGTTCTTTTTTGTTTGTTGTTCTTACCATTCTCGCCCCAGGAAATGCCTTACCTCCTCTTTTATAGATTGATTTGAACCAGTTAGAAGACTCTGGTCTTTTTGATTTCTTTCATGTCGGATTCTGAAGTTTCCATTTACTGGCTGCTCCTGCCTATTGGGTTCACTGAGTGATGTTACTTTCTCTTTTTTTCTTTTCCCCTTGTGTTTCAAGTTGAACTCACCCTTGCATATACGTTACCTAACCTTGTTCTTTTTTAGATTTGCAGTTTATCTTCAGATCTTGACTCTGTATACCGTTCCTAAAGAAGTTGCTTGGATAGAGATGCTTCTAATGAGAAACGTTACCACAGTTGCCTATCCAAAATAAGGATGTTATTATAGATGCATTTTCTATGCCCTATTGCACAGTTACAGAATCCTCCAACAGAAATAGAGGACACCCCTATCTACTTTTGGCTGTCCCAAGATTATGTCCATCTCTTTAGAAGATCATTCCTTTCTTTCGTATGTTTGAATGCTATATCAGCTTTCTAGTTGCGTAGGACCAACTTCAAACTTTCAGAACTACACCATTTGGCTTCTAAATCTTGACTGTAGCCTTGGACCTACTGACTTCAATTACTACGTAATTTCTATCGTCACCCAGATGTTCATCTCTGAACCTAGGGGACAACCTAAATATGGAGTTGTTCTTTGATGTTGAAATCTTATTCTATGCTTTGGTGCATTTTGCTGCGTTTTAAATCTTCGATGTTTGAATTTTGTGTTCAGGGACATATTTCGTTTCCATTGATTTTGGACTTGGCTCCCTTTGTGAAGAATGGAGTGGGGACAAAGAATTGGGAAGAGAAACTGCAAATAGGGAAAATAAAGCATCAGCAGCAGTCTTTCCCTTTGTTTAATTACTTAAATCTGCAGGATAATAACGAGATGTTAAATTGCAGTACCCAGAGTGAAAGAAAGTATTCTACAGAAGTAGAAGATACGGCTGATTTGTGTATCTCAAATAAATGTGGTGTTAACACACCAAAGTCAATATCAACTTTGCTCGAGACAGAAGGCTACAAGGAGACGAGCTTAAATCAGCTGCCTCCACATTCTGAAAATCAGGTTGGTTGGTTGCTCGCCTTAGGTAGATAATCTCAATGATTGGGCTACATGGTTTTACTGTGTATTTGAATCTTCATGCTTAAAGTTTGATATGCATAATGATTCTATCCATTCCATGACCACCTACTCTCGAAGTGAATTTGCGCTGTGTAGCTTTAAGTTGGTAGTGGGATCTCTATCGCTGGAGGGAAACTTTCAAGTAGTACTTTTCCTGAGTAAAGTACTCATATGTCATGCTTGCCGTCCAGAAAATCTCAACTCAGGATGTGAGGCTTGTTGCTAATTAATCACTGTGTTTATACTCCAATCTTGTGATAGTCTGAGGAATACAACAACTACGCTTCAATCCGTTGCAAGTTGGGGTTGGCTATTTGAATCCTCATTGTCCATGTCGCTCCATTTAAACTTTGTGATATTCTGAGGAACTAATGGAGAAACTATGTAGATAATTTAAGGAGCGACATGGACAGTGAGGATTCAAATAGCTAACCCCAACTTGCTAGATATTGAGGCATAGAAGAGAGCATTAGACAAAAAGATACCATCCTTGTCATTGGACAAACGTTTGTGAATCTCTTGATTCACGATTAGGCATAAAAAGCTTTTCAAAAGGAAACTAGTAGACGGTTATTGATCACTTCTTCCCATCTGGTCCCGGAGTTTCTTAACTTCGTTTGAAGCTAACAGTCATATTTTAAGGATCAAACCAGAATTTAACTATGTCTAATTACAGTACTAGCTTCTTAGGGACGGACGGAGACTAACTTAGAAGTAGGGAAACAATGTTTTCCTTGTTATGCTCTGCTGTTTCGTGTTCATTTTACTCGTCCACTCCCTCCATAACAGTTCCGCACCCCTTGTTGAACCAAACATAGTCACATTGTAAGGATCAAACAGAATACCATGATGTCTCCTTATGGCTTATAGTACTAACCTCGTGCGAACAGATAGAGACTAATGTTGGAGCCTTTTAACATTTACAGATTACTCAGCGTTTTGTGTTTGTACAGTTTTTACTGTGGTCTATTATTGTGCATTTAATTCTCTATCCTGAAATGAGCTTTGGATTACATTACTATTTGCTTTCAGGATTTGAGCTTCATGATGAACAAATATGTACATAAAAACCTCCCAGCAATCTAGTTTCATGTTTATCTAGCTTAGTTACATCCACTCAGTATGAATCTCACTCGATGTTGCTCCTCTATCTTTTGCGTTGCAGCGTGAAGCTTCCCCAATAACACTAACCGGACATCACATGTACCGACTAGCCTCTGTGGTGCAGCACTTTGGAAGAGTTGGTAGCGGGCATTACACTGTTTACAGACGAGTGACAGCAAAAATAATCGAAGACTATCCTGCAGGACTACTGGGATCTGCTGTTGATCAGTGGTTTTGCATCTCAGACACCGACGTGCATAGTGTTTCTGAGAAAGATGTTCTAGATGCTGAGGCAACCTTACTATTCTATGAAAAAGTTTCTGATTGTTAAAAATTTTGCTGAGTTGTAGTAGCTGTTTGTGGTAAGCTTGAATAATTTGTGTTAGCAACTCAGAAGCTGGCAAACCTATTGAATTTAATCAGATTTTACATTTTAGTNCCCAATATTAATATTATTTTGTTAGAGATTTTATATGCCAGTAAAAAATATAGAGATTTATAGTGCAGATAAACATTTTCTTTTTGTCGAGTTTTATTTTATATAATATTGGACTAAGAAGAGTTTAAATGAATTGAGGCGTAACTACTATTATTTTCTTCTTAAAAATGGAAATAACAAATTAGCAACTTTTGAATATAATAAACTAAAGTAGTTGCACGAGCCTCTCAATTTTCTCTTTTATTGTAACGACCCGACCGGTCGTTTTGGGCATTTATGCTCCTTTCTACTATTTGAAGTTTTGAATATCTTCATACGATGTATTATGACTTGTGTGAATTGTCGGTTTAGGTTTTCAGGTATTTCGGAGTTAGTTTGGAAGAATGAAATCCAAGGATTAAAGCTTAGGTTAAAATAGTGACTGGATGCCAACTTATGTGTAAACGACCCCGTAATAGAGTTTTGATGATTCCAATAGCTCTGTATGGTAATTTTTGATTTAGGAGTGTGTCCGAAAAATTATTTGGAAGCCCGTAGCTAAATTAGGTTTGAAATGACTAAAATAGAAATTTAAGTTTGGAAGTTTGACCGGGGGGATTGACTTTTTGATATCGGGAGCGGAATACGATTCTGAAAATTAGAATACCTCCATTATGTCATTTATGACTTGTGTGCAAAATTTGAGGTCAATCGGACTTGATTTGATAGGTTTCGGCAGTGAAGGTAGAAGTTGGAAATTGTTAGTTTTTCATTAGGCTTGAATTGGAGTGACGATTTATGTTTTTGATGTTGTTTGATGTGAGTTGACGGCTCGAGACTAAGTTCGTATCATGTTTTAGGACTTGTTGGTGTATCTGGTTGAGGTCACGGGGGCCTCGGGTGAGTTTCAGACGGCTAACAAATCAATTTTGGACTTTGCATTCGAGCTGAAGAATCTGGTTTTCTGTCACTGGTTTCCTTCTACGCGATCGCGTAGAGTTAATTTTGGGCAATGAAAATTTGTGCTTCGCGATCACGTGAGTTGGTCCGCGAGCGCATAGAAGAAGTGACTTGGTAGAGAGTTTAAGTTCTGAATATACATTTTTACCGATTTGGAGCTCGAGAATAGGCGATTTTTGGGAGATTTTCAAGAAAAGTAACGGGGTTAGTGTTCTTAACTCAATATTGGTCAAATTACTCGAATCCACGGTTGTTTTTAACTATTTAATTGGTGAATTAAGTTGGAAAATTGTGAAAATTCTCTTGGTTTAATTTGAAGATTTGAGGGTCGAGTTGATGTCGGATTTGAGTAAAATTTGTATGGTTGGACTCGTGGTTGAAGGGGCGTTTTTATTTTGTAACTTTTGTCGGGTTCCGAGATGTGGGTCCCATGGGCGATTTTTGAGTTAATTTCGGCTTTTTATTGGAAAATTAGTATTTCCTTATGGAATTAATTATAATAATTTTTATTGACTGAATCAAATTAATTGTGACTAGATTCGAGCCGTTTGGAAGTTGATACGCGCATAATGGAATTTCTGGAGCATTGTTTAGCTTGCTCGACATTGAATCCGGCTTGTTCGAAGTAAGTAACTCTTCTAATCTTGGAGCTGAGGGTATGAACCCTGAATATACGTATTATGTGAATTGTTTGGAGGTGTCGCACATGCTAGATGACGGGCATGTGGGCGTGCACTATAGAAATTATGACGTAATTGTTCCGTAGAATTTTGTAGTCAAATAATCTTGGCATTTTCCATGCAGTTTTATGTGTTGAAAAAATTTAGCTGAGAATCATATTAAAAATCATGTTGAGGCTATGTGCCAGTATTATTGGGACCCACAGATGTCATATTGCTGTGAATTATTTGTTTTAAATTGAAAATTCATACTCAGTCATATTTATTTCATTGCATATCATATCTTAGTCTTTGTTGTTATTTATTGATACATCATATTATCATTTCCGGGCTATTTTCATGACATTGTGAGCCCGAGAGATTGGAAAGATTGATGACTGAGTGAGGCCGAGGGCCTGATTGTGAGGATAATTATGGGATCGGGCTGCACGACGCAGCATGCCATATTGACTTTATATACTTTATTATTATGGGATCGGGCTACCCGCCGCAGCAGGCCAGATTGGCTTATTATAACACGTGAGTTGTCCGTACGGATACAGATATTGATACTATAGCACGTGAGTTGTCAGTGCAACACGTGAGTTGTCCGTGCAGATTATAGCGCTTGGGCTGAAGGAGCCCCTCCGGAGTCTGTACACACCCCCAGTGAGCGCAGGTACCTACTGAGTGCAAGTGCCGAGTGCCGAGTGCCGAGCGATTGGAAGGACTGAGTGACTGTGAGGACTGAGTGACCTTTGAGAACTGAGTGACTGGGAGGACTGAGTGACTGGAGGGACTGAGTGAAATGATACTCTGAGAGTATGCATATGATCTTTATCACTGATTTGCATCGCATTGACATGCACACATGACATACATGCATAAAGATGTATTTTCCTCATGCTGTACGATATCACGTTATTCATGACTTATTACACCTACTGGCCTATGGGCATAATGATGCATTTTTCACTGGCTATCTGGAAAGAAAATGAAACATCTTATTTATTGTGGAAATGATTTTTGGGAAAATTACTGTTTTCAACTTACTTATATTTTTGGTAAACGATTTGGATTTTCACTGATACACCGGAAAGGCAGAATTATTTTCAAAAATCATGATATAGCTGAGCATTTATTCTTTGAGTTACTTCTTTTATTACTTGGTTTATGTTGTTATGAACTGTTGTTGGTTATTGGAGCTGGACCCTGACCTTGGTACAAGCTCGTCACTACTTTCAACCTAAGGTTATGTTTGTTACTTATTGAGTACATGTGGTCAGTTGTACTCATACTACACTTCTGCACCTTGCGTGCAGATGTAATTGGTTGCTGATGTTGCTGTGTTCGTTGGGAGCTAGATCTGAAGGTGTACCTGCGTTCCGGTTGTAGGTGCCTCTTGTTCATGGTAGCCTTAGATTCATAAAATTCTGTTTATGTACTTTTCAAACATATTATGTATTTATTTCATACCACCTTTGTAAACTCTAATCTTAGAAGCTCATGATTTGTACTACCAGTTCTCAGGGAAATGTATTGGTTTCATATATTTTCTTTTAATTAATTGCCTTATTAAATTCATTGAAATTGGATAGTTGATAATTGGCTTACCTAGCGGGTTGAGTTAGGTACCATCACGACTAGTCGGATTTTGGGTCGTGACATTTATCCACTTAGCCCCCTTAAGATTACAGTTTTTCATCGGTGAGATATCTGTTCCTTTGAAAAAATAAAGCCTTCCACATTTATATTTCGACCCCTATAAATGCACTATAATTGGAATAGTAACATTATATTTAACTCTGAACAATTGTGTCCTTGTCCAATTGAAGCTGTTTGAAGTTTTATAGCTGTCTCTTTAATCGTTCATGAGTTTGTTTTCAGTTTTTACTTTCCTCTTATTTTACCTCTCTCTATTCCAAACAAAAGAATAATAAGAGTTCATAAACAGTCAACCATCCAATTATCTAGTTGCTAAGTAAAAAATGTAATGTAAGTATGCAACAAAGGAGAAAATACATCTGAGATAGTCAAATAAAATGCAGTCATTGTTCATAACATAGATACCAAATTCAGAGGAGTATTTAATAAATCTGAATTCGTGAAACTATCAAATAGTAATAAATAAACATCTCTCAATATTATTATTTGAAGCTTCGTGTATCTTCATAAAAACTTCATAAATCCATATGAATGTAAAAACCTGTAAATAATCCATCAAAAGATGTGTATATATATATATGTACATAATCTCTTCGACATTCATTCTATATTCATCTTACTCCCAAAGAAAATTTCTCAAAAACCTTGACAGAAATTCACTGAGTCTAGCTCGGACTATATATGTGCAAGAAAAAATGACACATATAAAAACAGAATCAAAAGACTTCAAATTCGGGATTCGTCTCGGGATATAACTTCCAAGTTTGTAAACTTTTTCCATCCTAATTATGAATTGGAGGTTTCTTTCCGGCTGGAGTGTAATCTACGTCTATTGCTACCGAGTCTCTATAGTTTGATTGCTCTTCATTCTTTACAAGGATTTCTTGGTCACTCTTTTGAACTTCATAACGATCTATTCGTAAATTCCTAGCTGCAAATATAGAAATAAAACAAAAGAATATGAAGAATAATTTAAAAACCTTAGATTAGATTAATGACAAGATCTTTGCACATATTTTCTAGAAAAAATGGATTATTTCTCCATTCAAGGAGAGATAACTAGAAATAAATAAATAGATTTTATTTACCTTGACAAGTGATCAAGAAGAAGCAGAACAAGAAGGAAACGACCAAGAACCAATGCGTTTTTTGGTTACAAACAACCATTTTTGACGTTCTAAAATTTTGATTATAGAGATATATCTGCATGTTTTGTGGGTTTTATACAAATTCTTTCATTATTTATAGATAGACAACATAGATTGGAAAAATTGGGCAATCAATTTAGAGATGTCAAATCATGTAGCTAATTTATGTACCTGGAGAATAGCATGAGGGCCCTTATGAGGGGTGACAATAGATTCAATATCAGCATTTTGCATGAGAAATCTTTGCATGGTTGTATTCACTATTTGTGTATATAGCTCTTGTACGAATGACTATACTGAGGTTAGAAACAATATTTCTTAAAACAACAACCATATGCCATGTCTGCTGTTTGTACGATTCTTGTTTTTTTTCTTCTTCTTTTAAATCATGAAATTACCGAGAGTCATAGCATGTTTGGCCAAGTTTCAAAAATACTATAACTATTTTGAGAAGTGCAAAAATGCTATAACTACTCAAAATTAGCTTATTTTGAGAAGTGTTTTTTCTCATAAGTGTTTTCTCAAAAGTATTTTTGGTGAGAAGCAGTTTGTGCTTGACTAATTAATTTGAAAAATACTTCTGAGTAGCAATTAATGTTTGACCAAACTTTTACTAGGGGGGAAGTGCACAGTTAGCCACTAACTAGAGCTGTATTTATTATTTAGCCACTATTTAAAATGTATTTACTCTTTAGCCAGTGCTTTAATAAAATTTTACCCGTCCAGACAAAAATACCCCTGTGCTAGACATGGTGTCATTAACTTTATGAGTGTTGTGTAAATATTAAGGACAGAGTGTCCTGAGTTAACACCTTATGTTTTAAACTTTAGGACATCATGCCCTTAACTTCATATGTACAGTGTAAATGTTAAGGACACGGTGTCCTTAACTTCATGAGTGCTGTGTAAATATTAAGGACATAGTATCCTTAACTTCATGAGTGCTGTGTAAATATTAAGGACAAAGTGTCATGTATTTGCACCTTCTGTTGTTAAACTTTAGGACATCATGTCCTTAACTTCATATGTACAGTGTAAATGTTAAGGATATGGTGTCCTTAACTTCATGTGTGCAGTGTAGATGTTAAGGACATAGTGTCCTTAACTTCATGAGTGTTGTGTAAATATTAAGGACATGGTTCACTTAATATCCAGAAGTTAAGGACATTTCAGAAACTTTTGTCCTCAATATTAGATTCCTAGTTCAATATTTCAGGACGTTTAGAAAATTATGTCCTAACATTTACTTGTTTCGCTTAATGTCCAGAAGTTAAGGACATTTCAGAAATGTTTGTCCTCAATATTAGATTCCTAGTTCAATATTTCAGGACGTTTAGAAAATTATGTCCTAGCATTTACTTGTTTCGCTTAAAGTCCAGAAGTTAAGGACATTTCAGAAACTGAATTTGATTCTCGTTTAATCCCCACAAAACAAACTCAAGTAAGGGATACAGCTTCCCAATAGCAGTACAAACAAATCCCAGTAGCTAATTTGATTCAATTTTCACGAAATCAACAAAGCCCGGGAGATCGTCTTCTCCAAAATCGGCTTCGTAAATTTTTGACAAACCCTAGCAAATTAGATCACAAATGGTCCAAATCTGTAGAATCAACTCACAAAGGTGTTTCCCAACAAATATTTGGAACACACAATTGATTTTGAATACACAAATTTTCAGAGAAGAAACGAGAGCTTAAGTGCTGGAGAGAAGCGAGGGTTTAAAAGAAAAGAGATGAAGAAATGGTAAAAACATCTATTCATATTAATTATAACAAAGTACTGGCTATATATGCTCAACATTGAAATTACTGGCCAAATACTAATTAACATTTTAAAAACTGGCCACCCACGCCATTTCTACCTTTTACTGCTTCTAAATGTATTTTTCTTAAAAGTGCTTTTCAAAAAAGTACTTTTGGAGAGAAACTACTTTTTTCTACTTCTCCCAAACTGTTTCTGCTTCTCTTCAAAAATACTTTTTTTTTCTTCCAAAAGTTTGGCCAAATACTTCAACTTTGAAAAAAAAGCACTTTAAAAAAAAGTATTTTTAAGAATGGAAAAGCTTGGCCAAATAGGCTATTAGTGGCGGATGATTCGAAACTCAGATTATAATAAACTCGCTGATCTAGTACCCTTAATCATATTGCATATTATATAACGTCATAAACGGGAATGACTATGAAACCATAGAAAAGGTACGGAAGGAAGGATTAATTTTATTGGTCATTACCAGTGTTATTTTAGTTATATGATCCTTAAGTTTTATACATTACCAAAAAAAAAAAAAAAAAAAAAAAAAAAAAAAAAAAAAAAACTAAAATTAACTACGAATATCTTCGCTAATTAAATCGCTCGTGGCTAACAAAAATTTTTAATAATCTGTCGTTAGTCCTTCACTAAGCAAGAATATTAGCAGTGAATTTTATTTTTTAGCTACAGAATTGTACTGTCGTTTGTTCCTGTTTTTTTAGTGTTGAAAGGTTAATATCGGAGATCTATAAATAAAACATAACTTTTTGTATAGACTTAAAAGTGTGAGTGAGCACAGAAGATCTATCTCAAACAATAAGCAAGGCGAGATTCTAAATTGGACAAAAGGGACACCCTCTATTATTTTGAGATAAGGCAATTGAAAAGGAAGTATAAAATTTCACGTGGCAAACAATCAGTTGATGTGCACAATTTTTCTTGGAGGGCTTAAAAATCAGAACAGTTTGTTCCCTACTAAGGTGACCTAAGACTACATGCATTTCAATTGGAAAATGGTAAGAAATCTCCTTTAATTTCTTCTTGTTAATTTGCAATATTTTATAAGAGTTTAAGCTAATAAGTAATAAAAACATGTTACATCTCTCCTTTTCGATCAATGGAGACATAGACACACAGGAACATGTGAATCAAATCCATGTCAAGGTCGTTATCGAATAAAATCCCAAATTAATAGTATTTTTTTTTATATGCCTTTTAATAAAATATTAATTAGGAAAGATTTTTTTGATAATTTTATCCTTATTTTTGTGGCTAGATTTGAGGCATTTGGAGGCTGATTCACGAGGCAAGAGCGTGTTAGTATAGGGATTTGCACGGTTTAAGGTAAGTAACAGTTTTAAATTTGGTTCTGAGGGTACGAAACCCCATAATACGTGTCATGTGATTGGTTTTGAGGTGGCACACATGCTAGGTGACGGGCGTGTGTGCATGCACCGTAGAAATTATGACTTGGTTAATTCCATAGAACTGAATAGTTGAAAAATCTGTTGTTATCCATATATTCTCCATGTGTTATAGAAATTAAACTACAAATCATGTTAGAAATCATGTTTAGACTATGTGTTGGCACTGTAGGGACCCACAGAGGTCGTGTACATGTTGAATTATCTGCTAAATCGCTGTTTTATATTCAGTCACAGTTTTACTTACATATTACATTTCAGTCTCTATTGTTCATTATTGATACATTATATCATTGCTGTTTGGGCTGATTATCATGATTACTGAGAGACCGAGAGACTGGAGAGGTTGATGACTGAGTGAGGCCGAGAGTTTGATTTTGTGAAGATATTATGGGATCGGGCTGCACGCCGCAACATGTTTTATTGATTTGTGCCATGATTGGCTTATTATAGCGCTTGGGCTGAAGGAGCCCCTCCGGAGTCTACACACCCACAATGAGCGTAGTTGATTATATTGAAGGATGGATCTTCCCTGGGCATGAATTTTGCCCGAATTATTTATATTTAGGGATGGATTTTTCCTGGGCTGGATTGGCCTTATACAATATTGAGTGACTAACTGCCAGTTTATATATATATATATATATATATATATATATATATATTTGGGATGGATCTTCCCTTGGCTGGAATGGTCATATACGGTACTGAGTGATTGAGTATTCCGAAAGTGTGAGTGTACGAAGCTTCTAGTGTGGTGTGTTACATACAACATGTACATTGGCATCTAGGTATAGAGGGGTCGTATTCCTCATACCATTCAGAATTGATCTATCTTACTTGCACTGAATTTAACTGTTGAACTTGAAAGCATGCCTATCTTTCTATGTTGTAATTTCTGTAATTTAACTATATCCGTGAAGCTGGTCACTACTTTCAGTCCATTATTTAGTCTTGTTACTTACTGAGTTGGTTGTACTCATGCTACACCCTGCACTTCGTGTGCAGATCCAGGTATTTTCGGACACGGTGGGTGTTGATCTCTTTTCACAGCTTGATCGTTTAGAGATTCCAAGGTAGCTACCGGCGTTCGCAGACCTTGTCTGTCATGACCCAAAATCCTAACCTGTCGTGATGGCGCCTATCTCAATACTAGGCAAGCCGACAACCTCAATAAACCATAACTTCTTTTAAGTTTGAAAACATAATATTTGAATTCCATAGAAAATCTCACAAATTACTAACATAATATACATTCCCAAAATCCGATGTCACTGAGTACATGAGCATCTAAATGATAACAATGTCTGACTGATAAAACACTATTTTAAAATATAGAACAATACAAAACCTAAAAGGAAAGAGAGTCAAGGTCTACGCACGTCAAGCAGCTACCTCAATAGTCTCTAACAGATAAAGCTTCGAAAAACTAGCAATCGCCGTGTCCGAAAGTACCTGGATCTGCACACGAGGTGCAGGGTGTAGTATGAGTACAACTAACTCAGCAAGTAACAATACTAAATAAAGAACTGAAAGTAGTGACGAGCTTCACAGCTAAGTCCAATTACAGTAATTTCCAACATAAGAAAGTAGGCATGCTTACAAGTTCAACAGTTTAGGGTCCAAACAGTAATTTCATATCAGGTTTGACTGAAACAAGAGATAATATCTTTCAGAAATTTGCCAAAACAGGGATATATGACAACTGTAGTGCAATGAGAATGAAATCAAATGCATCCTCTCAGGACCACAATTACTCAGCCATTCTATTCACTCAGCACTCACACTCAGTAGGTACCGGCGCTCACTGGGGGTGTGTACAGACTCCGGAGGGGCTCATACAGCCCAAGCACTATAATCCGCACGGACAACTCACGTGCT